TACTGATTTCCTTGGATCATAAAGAGGCAGGCCTGTCATCTTTAAGATTTACATGTATGAGAAAATTTGTCACTTAACTTTAGTGAAAACTGCCATGTAATAAGCATTTTGGCTCCAGAAGCAGTCTTTTTTATTTAAGCATTCCTATAAGCAAACCATTTTCCTGATTTGAGCAATGGGTAGGATTCTTGAGCTTTAATATAATTTCTATGAGAACAAGACGTCTTAGCCAACAGGACTTTGCTCTCTTGGCCTTTGCTGATTCCATCAGCAACCTCTTACTTTTCACTGATTTTCACTAAAAATACTTCTTAAAGTAATTCTCACTTGGTTGCCCCAAAATGCAGGCTCTATCTGTTCTTCACAAAACAGCTTGAATTGTAATCACATGTCCAGATCATTATTTGATATTGTTGACCCACAGGTCTGAGCATCTTAAAATTGTGTTTATAATTATACAAATGTATATGTATTTTATTTTACTTTTATTTTTGAGGGTACTAGAAATATCCCCATTTCCCCCCTTTTGCCCCCCTCTGCCCTGCTCCCACCCAACCCCAGGCTTTCACCAAACTATGATCCATGGAATAAGCCAGTCAGAGAAAGACAAATATCACATGATCTCACTCATATGTGGAATCTAATGAACAAAATTAACTGTTGAACAAACAGGTCCAGAGACAACGGAAGCATGGAACAGACTGACAGATCTGAGAGGGAAGGGGGACTGGGTGGTGGGGAGAGATTAACCAAAGAACTTATATGCATATGTATATGTATTTTTTTAAATCTGAGCATTTGATGTAAATTTTAAATCTGCCTGTAGACCCTCCCAAAATTCAAATAGTTCCACTGGTATTGACAGTGTATTTTACATTCAAATTAAAGGGGAATCCTGTAAGCTTTCAAAAAGGCCACTTTCAGGGACAGGCCTTACACCTAGTCTTACACTGTGGTTAACCCTAGTTTATCTTGTATCCACTTTTGTATGTCACCAGTTATCTTTGCTTTTGAGTAAATTACTGCAGTGCATGGATGGTCACCTCAGTGTTTGCCACTTTAGAGTGTGATCACTTCAATGCTAGGACCACAAGCCCTGTGTTACAGTGACAGGCACAGTTCCAGCCACCTCTGCAAAGCAGTAGAGAAGCCACAGTTTTATTTTCAAAATCGCTCTCCTTCGTTTTCCTCATTTTGGTATAATGCATGTTATACCAAAAGCAGTCTGTATCAAGAACTCTAAAAATGGTTTTCCTATTTTACCCATAACTCTACTTCTGAAATCTATCCTAAAGAAGTAATCTTAAACTCAGTGTTTATGGGCACTGATGTTACTTAGAGCCTGAATGATTCACTATAAGAATGAAGTGGAAAGGACTTAGTAAAGTCCCTGCAGGGGAGTTTTTAAGTGAACTAGGACACATCCACTTGATGAAATTTTATATGGCTATTAAACACAGTGCTTGTGAATTTTGTGAACTAATATGAGAAAGTGTGCATGATATGTGTAATAGAAAGAATAAGGTGCACAGATTCCTCTACCAAATGAAAGTATATAAAAAATAACATATAAAGGCAACCGCCTTAAAATTATGGAAGGGTGTGTGTGATGCAGAGGCCGAGACACTAAAAAACAGGTACAAAAGTGTGAAATGGTAACTGTCCTGGTCGTGGTATCATAAGTGACGATTTTTTCTACTTTTTTTGTAAATGTTTTTCATGTTTGTGTATGTATGGTACCTTCATAATACTTTTTAGAGATTAATTGCTGTTCTCCTGATGATGAGTGCCCTTTCCCTTCAGATGCACAGGAGCTTCATGTTTGGGGCTGCCTGCCTAAGACTTCCTATCTCATACAGTCTACCTAGAGATCAGAGTCCTCATGAATGTTCCTTTTTAACACAACTTTTCTGTCTATTGCTTGAAACCCAGCCCTTCCAAACCAGTCTGAAAAATAAGTTTACACTAAAGTATAGTCTTCTTTGATAATGTTTTCTTGATGTGTGTGTGTGTGTGTGTGTGTGTGTGTGTACACGTACACACACATGCACACACACACATATGCATTTCTAAGGAGATCCTCTGGAATTAACGTCTTCTGTCCAAGGGAAGACTTTTAATGGCGATTTTCATAGAAACCACGGAAGGGATGTTTTTAAATAAATAAATGGATCGCTTAGCACCCTATAAATCAAATCATGCCCAATCCATCTATATTTAGGCCTAGTCATGAGTAGGTGATTAATGAACATTTTCATGCTAATGTTTCGCAGACCACGGCTGCGTCTATAACCACATAATCATCACAGTGGAAATTCTGATTCAGCTGTGATGTTTGATAGGAGGGATCTTTGAATAGTGCTTTAGATGATTCCGTGCAAAGGCTGTAGTCCGTAGCCCAGCTTTGCAAGTCTTTCCAAAAGTCCTAAAGCATGTTGGCATGTCCTCACTTGGCCCTGTCACTTCTGCTTAAATTTTTTCATGGAGAATACTCATGATTGTGGGACATTAAGGTGAATTTCATCTCAGGCAACCTCCCTCTGTGAAGTGAATCAGCGTCATGGGATTCCCCTGGGCTCAAGCTCCCTGGTGGGTTTATTTTTACACAACATTCCTCTGGGGAAAGAGGCACCCACTCTTGATTGGAGTTACCCCAGAGAACATCTTCTTGGGTAGAAGGATGTTCCTCATTTTGCTCTCATTTCCCCGGCTTAACTTTTTAAACAAGTGGCTGTAGAATCTGTCTCCACTTACCTTACCCGTCTCTGATTCGGTTTCCTGCCTCCACCCCTCACTCCCTGAAATTGCCTTTGAGATGACCAGTGACTTCCATGTTGCTAGACTCGGTGGTCACTCACCTTTCTTCCACTTGACCTTTCGACAGTATTGCACGGAGCTGGCTGCTCTCTCTTCCTTGCAATCCCGTTTCCTCTCAGGCCATGCAAGCCTATACTTCTCCTTCTCTGTTCACTTTCCATCCCTTTCTGGCCTCTCCTCCGCTGCTTGCACGCCTCAGGGTTTGTCCTGCAACCCCTTCTCTTCTTCAGCTACATTCTTTCCCTACCGATTCGTCTACTTTCATGGTTTTAAATACCAATTTTATGCCTGTGACTTCCTGATGTGTATTTCTATCCCAGCCATGCAGCATGACCTGCAGACTTTTGTATATGAGAGTGTCTGATTGACACCTCAGACTTAGTATGTACTAAATGACTCTTGATTTTCCCAGTCAAACTTACTCCGGCCTCCCTCCTTTACTCTGGTCAAGTCTCTAGTCAAATATCTTCACAGTGAAACTTTTCCCTACCACTTTATTTAAAATTACACAAGCCTTCTACTTCTGTGGCCTTACCTGACCTCTCCTCCCTAATCGGGGAAGTTCTGGTTCCTTTGGATCCAGTTTCTTGAATCTTGTTCCTTTGAATGAAAATCTAGACACAGGACACTGTGGACCTGGGCAAGAAAGGAGGTCCGTGTCTGGTCATACTATTCCCATTTAACTTACCCCAGAAGATCCATGCATTCCCATAATGCTTTACTTTTACTCATTACATTTCGTCTTTCTGAAACTACTCCCCACCTTTTTAAATTCTCTTTGGCTGGCTGGCTGAGTCCCCCTTGACCTTTGCAGTTCAACTCATGTTATCTTTTCTGGAGAACCTTTCATGGCCACCAACCTCAACCTGAACTGGAAGCCCTTACCCAGTATCCCAGGACACCACACTATATTACAAATTGTCGTTTTCCTTGTCTCTCTCTTACTAGACTCTTATGAACATTTTTAGAGGAGAGATGACCAATAGGTCTGGTTAAATATTTTTAATATTTTCCCCAACATTTAGCACAGGGGCATAGTTCAGGTACTTAGTAAATACTTTGAACATATGGATATTTCTGTAACCCATAATTATTCGTAGTGGGGCTAGAAACCAACCTATCTGCTGTGATCTAAGAACAATTTATGCCAAAATCCCATCTCTGTAGAAAAATAAAGTTATCCATAAGATTCAAAGGAAAGGGGATTAGAGGAGTACATGGGAAGAAGCACATCTACCTCCTTGTGAGGTATGTTTGTTCTGCACTGTTCCAAGCTCAGTGTAAAATTCAGCCCCTCATTTAGTGTTCACGGCCCACATTCACCACAGCAAGTGCTGTGAGTTCAGGAGGCTTTACTAAAGCTGTGGGGATGTCCCAGACACCATCCTTCTCCAAGTCCATTGTTCCTCTCTCTTGCTACCCTTATCTCTCTGTGTCCATCTCGTCTAAAGAGATCAAAATCCTTCTTCCTCTGTTTTGAAAGACAACATCCATTCCCCTGAAGCCAGAATATTAGATACCACCCACCCAGGTCCTCATTTGGGAATGGTGGGATGCTTGACTGCATTTCCAATAACAACCATTCCCTTCCTAAGAATTCTGAATCTAGGGGTGTAAGTCACAAGTGAGATGACTTCACATGTGTTAACAGAATGTAAATGGGAAGGGTAGGTGGATCGGAAGCATGAAGAGACACGCAGTCCTCCCTAACCTGGGCTCAGTTCTCATGCTGCGATATGGGTGTCACCTTCAGCCAGTTTGGTAGTTCAAGCCAACTTGAATGCCTGGGAATTTACGCAAAATCTATTTTAAACTCTACTTTTGGAGTATGATCTGAAGAGGGTTGAAGCCCTCTATTTTCTGGGACTAGTCCATGAATAGTTTTTGCCTCTATTTTCAAGAGACTGAAAGCAGAGCACTTCACCTGTCCCAAGTCGGAGGTTTTGTAGAATCTCTCAATGGAAAGCTGAAGGTGCTTGTCCCTGTTCCTGAAGAAGGGTGTAGAGTGAGCTAGTTACTTCTGTTTGTTCATATTGTTTCTGTTTTTGCTTTTTTTCCCTTGAATTTGGATGAACATTGATTTATAAGGGTTTTGCACAATTAATCCCCATGTGCATAGCTCAGAGCACAAGTGCAGCAAATACGTGTTCTTGGGAAGTCTAATTCCAAACTTCTCTTCACAGCAAGTGAGAAACAGATGGCGGTGGTGTGCAAGGAGTCGCCAAAGGAGTACCTCCAACCTTTCAAGGACAAACTACAAGAGTTCTTCCAGAAAGGTAGGGGAAGCTCTGAAATGTCCTTTATCCCATGCTCTTTCTCTCGGGGGCTGTGCCCCAGGCATCCTGGCTGACCACCGACAGCTTCAATGATGCCATGAATCCACCTTTCCATGGTGGTGACATGCTCAATGTAGATGGAGTTGTCCTATAACTTTCATATCACCTTTCAAATCTGTTTGTGTGTTGTAAATTTTTAATATTACTCCTGTTTTTGTAAACTTTGGGGAGAAGACTTTCTCTTTGTCTCTTCATAGAACCCAAGAGGATCCTCAGTACATGTTAACTGACAAACAGCATACATGCAAGGTGTATGCAGTTGTGCAGTTTAGATTTGCCTTCAGTCTGGGCAGGCGGATAGCGATTATCTTCCTGGTTTTATGAGTGTAGGGACTTGGAAACTTGTGTTGTAAATGTTCCATTACTTTTCAGAAAGGAAAGTTGGGGTCCAATGAATGTCACACATTCAGTCACTTGACACCCATCAGCCCTTTGGGGTTAGTAGATGGGAGTGATATGCGCGAGACCCAGTACTTCTGTAGAGAGCTACTGAGTTACGCTTCTTCCTCCATGATTTTGGCAGGAGTTGGGAACTTGTTTTGATCACTGTTAGTGAATATGGAAGTTGAATACATTTTGGGTATTTCCTATTCTAATTTCTCAAATTCAGCTTAAGATGTGAAACAAAAGTAACTCTGGGTCACAACTTCCAGTTATAATACAAATAAGTCCTGGAGATGTAATATACAGCATGGTAACTATAGTTAATAATACCTTATTGTATATTTGAAAGTTGCTAAGAGAGTAGATCTTAATAGTCCTCATGTCCAGAAAAAAATTGCAACTGTGTGGTGATGGAATGTTAGCTGGACTTATTATGATGATCATTTCAAAATATATACATATATGGAATCATTATGTTGTACACCTGAAACTAATATAATGTTGTATGCCAATTATAACTCAACAAGGAAAAAAATAAGTGTGGTGTAGTTAGAGGGAGCTTTTGTGTTTGCTAGAGAGCCAAAGGAAATGCATGGAGGGCCCTTTGGGGCTATATCAACGTGCTGTTTCTGTTTATTAATAAGATCACATGATAGCACACCATCAAGAAAAAAACCATTAAGCAGGGTGAATCCATACAGTATGGCCAACAGAGTGAAGGGAATATGGGAAGGACATTAAGAATAACCTCAAATCATAGTTAAAATCAGCCAAAACAAAGCACAGAAAGACTCTAAATGAAAATTACGATTCTATAAAGAATGTTAAAATATGTACGTAAATACGAAAGGAATCTTAAACATGTACAGTATTGTGTGATGAAAAGAGCCATTGTCGAAACAGCCGGTTACTATTATCTTATTACTTAACTGAGTTGGTCAAAAATCAATGTAGAATCGTACTGTCACACTGACCACACGTAGCTGTTGAGCAATTGAAATGAGGCTAATCCAATCTAAGATGTGTGCAAGGATAAAACACATAGCAGACTTCGAAGACTTAGTGCAAAACAACCACATATTTCATTTCTGATTTTTGTGTTGATGACATGATAACATGATAATATTTTTAAATATGTTGAGTTAAATACATAAAATGCCAATAGCAATTAACCTGTTTCTTTTAGTTTTTAAGCATGGCTACTGGAAAACTTAAATTTATATATGTGGCTCACATTATATTTCTATTGGAAAGTGCTAGTCTAGAAGACAGGGGCCCTTGACCTTTCTCATATCATTCTTTCATCTCCTCTTCACTTTTTGACTCTACCTTCAGTGTGAATCCTAGCTTACTAGAAAGCAGTTTCATAAGCTAGCCCCTCCCCACCTTTGCTCTGGGTTGGCCACTGTGTGGCTCTCAGATGGGGTGCTTAACTGAAGGAGATGCTAGCACCCAGCTTCATCAGACTACTCCTCTTTGGTTCAAGGGTGGATGGGGCTTGGCCAAGTTGCAGGATATACAAATGGAATATCTCTTGGCCACTATGGAGTTCTAACTAATAGTCCCTTTTCTTATGTTGATATTTCACTGATTCATAGAAAATGTAGAATTTTCCATCCACAATAAATATGCATTATTGTAATGCAAAGGATCAGGCCAACTGTCGTGCCAAGGACTACGCCAATTGTCGTGGCCACCGAGGGCCAGGGAGGTTCGCTCTAGACCTGGGAGACAGTCTACAGAAAAACATGGAACCGAAGAAGGATGAGATATTTACTTTATTCAGCTGATGGCCAGGCTGATGTAGAGAGAAGCAAACTGTCTCCCCGGTGGCGGCCAGCCAGGCATACACACACGAGGCACACTACAAACCCACAAAACCCGCACCTCTGAAAGTCCTGGGCCAGTCTTATAGCACCCAGGACAAGAGTGGCTCTCAGCCAACATGGGTCAGACAATAGTCAGCTAACAGGGCATCTGTTATGAGTATGCTATATCACGTTTACATAACTGCGGCCTTCTGCCATGAGGTGGCGAGAAAGCTAAGTGTTTTCACTTTCCCTACAATTATGCACCCTGGACAATCAGATTTTAGTGGCGATTATCATCCAGTTTAATTATAGTATCTCATGTAATATGCCAGTCATTGTAAGAAACATCATTATTACAGGTACTACTATGAAAGAAAAATTGCTGGCAGTTAAACCATGATGTGTCATAGATTATACAATGTATTGTAATATCAGAGATGCTAAAATATGAAAAGTCTGTCAATTTTGAAGTTGCTGTAGTATGGTACTGTATAATTAGGCATGTACAATTAGAGAGCAGGAATGCCTAACACTTCTAGGTAAGTCAGGGAAGTCTTTCGGCAAAGGAGATGTTTTGTTCAGATTTGGGGGGGAAAGACAATGACAATGATAACTAATGTCTGGTGAGTGCTGCTGTATGCCAGACGCTATGGGGAGATCTTTCATATTTAGTCCTCATGACAACCCTCTTAAGTAAGCACTATTGTCAGCCTGCTGTACAGATGAAGAAATTGAGGATAAGTCTGAGTGGTATTCCAGGCAGAGGTAAACACTGTGATTCCCAGGATGAAAGACATGATGTGTTCGGGGAATGGCGAGAGACTTGGTGTAGTTAGAACACAGGGCATATGGGAAAAGCACAAGACCAAAAAGGAGAGGAGAGTCACAATATGACTTGCTAAAGGATCTGAACTTTATCTTACAAGCAACAGAGAGCCTTTGAAAAATAGCATGTATGGGAGGTGGCATGGTCACGTTGGGTTTGTTTTGTTTTGGTGTGTGGAATCATTTTGCATTTTTGTTGTTAAAAATACATGATACCTAAGAGAAATATAAGGAAGACTTGGAATAGTAAAAGACTGGAAGCCAATCCATCAAGCTCTTCTTCTGCACAGGCAAATGTAAGAACTTGAGCAAAAGCAATCAGAGTAAAAATAAGAAAGGAAGGGCCATTTATAAAGCTTTTAGTAGTTACAGGATTAGATAACCCATTGGAAGTACAAAAACTTGCAGGAAAATTTTGGGAGAAAAGGATACTTCTTTTTGCTTGGATAACTGGCTGGATACTCATGAGGAGAAGCAGATTTGGGATGGCATAAACTTTGGACACGTTGATTGCATATACATATGAGACACAGGTTGGGCTCATGGGAGAGCACTGGGTAGAGCACTGGGTGAGACCTTAGCGGGCAGCGAGAAGGATGAGACGGCACAAAGAAAGGGTGCAGAGGGAGAAGTTCCTCAAGTATCAGAGTTTATCTGAGCACGGGTGTAATATAATAGCTATAATTGAGAAAACATACTTCTTTCATAATATTTGGAAATTTGGCAGGAAGTGGCTACTTTTCTATTTAGGGGTCTTATCATCATAAAGTCTTAAGCAATTGTGTTCTTTGCGCCTGAGAAGTCACATGCGCACATTGTGACTCAGTTGATTCATGGTCAGACTAATTTTCACATGAGCCGCCATTCAGTTCTTCTAGCAATCATGATGATTTAATCTTTCTTTTGTAAATCATATCCTATTGCCACATACAAGTGGAAGTGATGAGTTTATCCTTATGTCTTTTATCATCCTTCCCTACTCACAATGCCCTTAAATAGTTTTATTTGACAAAACTGTGGTACTTGCTCTTAATAATTTCTTTCCTGGGCAGAAGCGAAAGTAATTTTAATGGCGCCACTTTTCAGAGTTGCAGTCTCCACAGTGTCAGAGCCTTTTTCCTTACATGGTTTTCCTTTTCCACGGTAGGCTCTTGTTGACGCCAGTTTACAGCTCAGTGCAGAGTAGCTTTGTGCAGGCATCGTTTGAGCTCATGTTTTCCCACCCTCAGATCAAACATGCTCATAATGATATGGCCTTCAAAAATGTGATGCTCACATTAAACGTCCCCATAAACATGGCAGGGATCCTGTAATTGAAAGAAGGCGCAGAGCAACTGATTAGGTCCCAGGTATAGATCTTGTAGGTGGTCTTTTCATGCTGTTAAATTGGTCATTTGTATTTATAGCTTTGGCAGGGAGGGCTGAAACCTAAACTGGTGCTAATACCAGCACTCTCCCACACTTGGCCTTATCTCAGTCTCCATTAATTTTATGTGGCATCCATGAATGGAACCAAATCATACCGAGTCTCAATGAGCCATGCTAGCCCTGGTTAATCAAACTGTCCCATAAGGTTCTTTAGCCAGATGAGATTAGAGATATTCTAAATGTCAAGAAACTGTTCTCTAGTAAGAAGTAAATAAATAAATTTACAAAACTAAAAAACAAGCAAAACAATAACTCTGATTTCCCACACTGAATGCAAAAAGAATTATCTAAATGGCTGAATAGTCCATGTCAGCTGGCACTATGCCTGTCTATCCTCCTGCACTTTCTCATCCCAACATCATAAAGGATCAGCCTGGCCCATGATAGGTGTTAATAATTAGTTGTTGAATTAGTGAACAAACAGCCTGAGTCTTGTAAAGCTCCTGGAGGGTATTTTTCTTTCCCTTTGTGATTTTTCCTTTTTCGAGTCTT